ATCAGCTCTATATTTCGTCCGCCCCTCTCTCTCTCTCTCTCTCTTTCCAAGGAGTTTCTATTTCTTGTGTTCCACTGATTCAAGATCTAGAAAACTGTTTGAGAATACAGTAGAAGATCTTAAGATTCCAATCATACATCCAAACCGGAGACCAAAACCAGCAAGTGACCATACCACGACGACCAGGACGACGAGACGAAGAGATCACCGTCGAGATCGCCGCCAACCGCCGCCGCAGGCGCCACCACGCGCCGCCGCAAGGAAGCAGTCGCTGGAGTTTGTCGTCGCGCGTGAGAGCGGGTGAGAAGGCCGATTTCCAATCGGTCAACGCCGTTGACTTCGCCGTGACGTTAGCTTTATGGATTGGTCAAGTTTGTTCGATTCCGAGAAGATTTGATTTGCGGTCAACTGTTCGGGCTAGCTAGATATACATAAATTTTAAGCAGTAAGTTTTTTTCATCAAACCTTTAGATCCGCTGCGCATAGGTTTATGTTGAATGTTTGTCCGTGATTTGTGCATATCGAGATCCTCATGGGTTCCAACAATTGGTATCAGAGCTTGAGGTTAATCTGTTATGTACAAGATCCGGATTAAACTGCTTATATTGTCTATGTGTGCTCAAGCGCAACCATATATATTGGATTATATGCATAACTTGGTTTTGCAGGAAGTAGTTAATCCACTATTATGGCCATCTTTTTATGTGCGTGTGCTTAATTGATGGTTGGTTGTATGTTTTAAATTTGTTTTTAAAGCCTCGGGATTGTCGAGGAATTATGGATGAATGCTTGTATTAATTGCCCGGGGGTTGACCGGATAGTTTAATTAATTAGTAGAAGGCATGCACATCCACTCGTTGGATCTAGGAATCGATTTATGTAATTTTGTAAATTATATTTTTCGTATTGTGATCGACCGTTGGAGACCGGGCCTTCACAAAGATCCAAAGAGACTCGACAAAGCAAGGAAGAAACCGGAGCCAGGAGCCAAGTGGGCGGCGCGGCCGCGACTTCTACTGATGGAAGTTTTGTGGAACTAGCAGTACAAGTCGACCGGGATTCTACTGCAGTGGGAGTTCCAGTTGGTTTAGGATAGAAATCCTAATCCAATGAGAATAAATATTTAATTGGCCATAATAGTAGATATTTATTTATGGCATTAATTACTTATTTGTTTATTTATGCATGGCAATAATTGTTGCCTTGTATATATATATATATATATATATATATATTAAAAATCCTCATTTA